AAAAAATTAGCCAGGTGTGGTGGTATGTGCCTGTAATCCCTGCCACTCCAGAGCCCGAGGCAGGAGAATCGCATGAACCTGGGAGGCGGAGGTTGTAGTGAGCCAAGATCATACCATTGCACTCCAGCCTAGTTGACAGAGGGAGACTCCATCTCAAAAAATAAAAAAGAAAGAAAATACGGTGTCTGGGTTTGCTCTAAAATAAGTCCAGTGAGGGGAGGGAGAGGATGTCAGTGAAACACGGGCTGTGCGAAGCCATCGCTACCCCTGGGTTCATCGCGCTGGCCACTCTGGTTTTAGAGGTTTGAAAGTTTCCATAATAAAACTCTTCTGAGAAAGGGGGACCTACCTTTCACAGCCTCCCAACTGCTCTGACCCCAGCACAGGAACCCTGGCACCTGTGATCTAACAAGGGCCTCAGGACATCGCCACTATCATTCACTTCGGTTCCGCACACGCCCAACGATGACTTCTGTCCTGGGCTAACCAGAAAAGCCATGGGTGCTGAGACAGCCCCTCAGAGCCAGCCATGCAGTGAGTGCCCCCCGCCCGGGGCCCTGGGATGTTCTGGAAACGGGAAGGAGGGTTCCATGGGAAGGGGCCCCTGCCCTGGGGTCCGGCCAAAGATCAGGGCACTCAGTAGTCCTGTCCTCTGATCCCTGAGTCCCTTTCGCCATCTGGGCCTGGACCCCCTGTCTCCCACCCAGATCCCAGGTCACCCCCTAGGCAGGCCCTGCTCACCCACCCAAGCCTTGGTGAAAGTTTTGTTTGTTTTGTTTTGAGATGGAGTCTCACTTTATCGCCCAAGCTGGAGTGCAGTGGTGGGATCTCGTCTCACTGCAACCTCCGCCTTCCAGATTCAAGCGATTCTCCTGCCTCAGCCTCCTGAATAGCTGGGATTACAGGCATGTGCCACCACGCCTAGCTAATTTTTGTGTTTTAGTAGAGATGGGGTTTCACCATGTTGGCCAGGCTGGTCTCAAACTCCTCACCTTGTGATCCACCCACCTCAGCCTCCCAAAGTGCTGGGATTACAGGCGTGAGCCACTGTGCTCAGCTGGTGTGTATTAATACTGACCACTTAGGGTCTTTTCACAGACTCAGAGAAGAGAATCCGTATATACATAAGGCAGGGGCCTTGTCTCCAGCAAGTCTGTACAGCCCCCATCAGCATCAGCTGTCCTGATGTGCCACAATGCTCCCAGTGGGGCTGGGGCCAGGTCTCTGGCTGCTGTGCAGACACAACTTAAACCCCATCGGAACTGTCATTATGGGCCGGGCGTGGTGGCTCACACCTGTAATCCTAGTACTATAGGAGGCCAAGACTGGTGGATCACTTGAGGTCAGGAGTTCGAGACCAATCTGACCAACATGGTGAAACCCCATCTCCACTAAAAATACAAAACTTAGCCGGGCATGGTGGCGCATGCCTGTAATCCCAGCTACTCAGGAGGCTGAGGCAGGAGAACTGCATGAACCCGGGAGGTGGAGGTTGCAGTGAGCCGAGATCATGCCACTGCACTCCAGCCTGGGCGACAGATGGAGACTCTGTCTCAAAAAAAAAAAAAAAAAAAAAAAAAAGAAGAAACTGTCATTGTGGTTCTAGAAGCCAAGCAAATAAGGTAGGATTTGCCCCCACCAAAGACCATTATCTAGGAGAATTAACTTTGTTTTCTAGAAACCACCGTAAAACCAGCATATCCCTAAATCAATTGAAGTCAACAGATACTTGACCATGCCATTCCTCCCCATCCTCTCCTTCCTGTCTCTGACTCACCTAATCCAAATCGCTTTTCCAGAATTCCACCCTCATCCGTAAACCTAATTTAACCTGAACACCAATCTCCTTAGTATCAGAAATGATCCTGGAGGCTGGGCCCAGTGGCTCCCAGTACTTTCGGAGGCCTAGGCGGGTGGATAACCTGAGGTCAGGAGTTCAAGACCAGCCTGTCCAAAATGGTGAAACCCCGTCTCTACTAAAAATACAAAAATTGCCGCCAGGTGTGGTGGCTCACACCTGTAATCCCAGAACTTTGGGAGGCTGACTGAGGCAGGCAGATTACAAGGTCAGGAGTTCAAGACCAGCTTGGCCAACATGGTGAAACCCCATCTCTACTAAAGATACAAAAATTAGCCAGGAGTGGTGGTGCGCACCTGTAGTCCCAGCTACTCCGGGGGCTGAGGCAGGAGAATCACTTGAACCCGGGAGGCAGAGGTTGCAGTGAGCCAAGATCATGCCATTGCACTCCAGCCTGGGTGACAGGGCAAGACTCCCTCTCAAAAAAAAAAAAAAGGGCAGAAGTGCACCAAGGGGAGCCGCACATGAGCCCAGAGCCAGAGGAGCTTTGTGCGGCAACCCTGTGTGATCAAGGACCAGGGGATTACTGTGGGGCCCCACCCACTCTGGGGACCCAAAAACTCCTGGGACATGCCCTGGGAGCCAGTGGCTCTGGGGCTGCGCCCCTTTCCATGGTCGTTTGCGCTGCTATGACGCTGCAGAGCTGAACAAGCTGCTGGGCAGGGGCCGGGCACCTGGGGTCTGCCCGACCTGCCAAGGAACCGCCAGCACGGCCATTCCCCGCTGTGGGACCCAGGCCAAGGCCCAGGTGAACAAGACCCCAATCCTGCCCCGTTCATACTTGACACGTCATTGTGAATGGAGCGCTGAGACCTGGGCCAAGCCCCTTCCCCTCTCTGTGCCCCGGGGTCCTCTTCTGCCCCACCCTCTCGCCATCTCCAAGCCTCAGTTTCCTCATCTATCAAATGCAGGCATGTTGTTGGGTTTGTTTGTTTGTTTGTTTGTTTGTTTGCTTTTTGATTTTGGGGTTTTTTTGAGATGTAGTCGCCCAGGCTGGAGTGCATTGGCGAAATCTTGGCTCACTCTAGCCGCCGCCTCCCATGTGCAAGGGAGTCTCCTGCCTTAACCTTCCCAGTACCTGGGATTACAGGTGTACAACACCATGCCTGGATTTTTTCTTTTTTCTTTTTTTTTTTTTTTGAGACGGAGTTTCGCTCTTGTTACCCAGGCTGGAGTGCAATGGCGCGATCTCGGCTCACCGCAACCTCCGCCTCCTGGGTTCAGGCAATTCTCCTGCCTCAGCCTCCTGAGTAGCTGGGATTACAGGCACACGCCACCATGCCCAGCTAATTTTTTGTATTTTTAGTAGAGACGGGGTTTCACCATGTTGACCAGGATGGTCTCAATCTCTCGACCTCGTGATCCACCCGCCTCGGCCTCCCAAAGTGCTGGGATTACAGGCTTGAGCCACTGCGCCCAGCGACTTTTTTCTTTTTTATAGAGATGCGGTTTCATCATGCTGGACAGGCTGGTCTCGAACTCATGACCTCAAGTGATTTCCGCCCCCCTCAACCTCCCAAAGTGCTGGGATTACAGGTGTGAGCCACCATACCCGGCCTGAAATGCAGGCACTGTGAGGGTTACGATGGGTGCAAAGCCCTGAGCACTGGGCAGCCTCCGAGCAGGTGATCGCCACGGGAACATTTTCATCATTACTTTTTTTTTTTGAGAAGGAGTCTTGCTCTGTCGCCCAGACTGAAGTGCAGTGGTACGATCTCGGCTCACTGCAACCTCCGCCTCCTGTGTTCAAGCAATTCTGTGCCTCAGCCTCCCAAGTAGGCACCTGCCACCATGCCCGGCTAATTTTTTGTATTTTTAGTAGAGACGGGGTTTCACCACCTTGGCCAGGCTGGTCTCAAAAACCTGGGCTGAAGCAATCTTCCCACCTCGTTCTCCCAAAGTGCTGGGATTACAGGAGTGAGCCACTGCACCCAGCCCTTGTGACTGTTTTATTTAGTATTACTATTATTTTGAGACGGAGTCTCACTCTGTCACCCAGGCTGTAGTGCAATGGCGCGATCTCAGCTCACTGCAACCTCCGCCTCCCGGGTTCAAGCGATTCTCCTGCCTCAGCCTCCTGAGTAGCTGGGATTACAGGCACCTGCCATCACGCCTAGCTAATTTTTGTATTTTTAGTAGAACAGGGTTTCACCATTTCACCTGACCAGATGGCCGGGCTGGTCTTGAACTCCTGACATAACCAGGAGTTGGTCCGCCAACCTCAGCCTCCCAGAGCGATGGGATAACAGGCGTGAGCCACCGCCGGCCCTTGTCACTGTTTTTGCTGACCCGAGCTCTTTCGGCCTGGGGCCCATCCAGCTCTCTGATGGTTTTCCGTAGAATTCTTACTCACGTTCACCCCCAGCCCTTCGTGGCCATAAACCACATCCCTCTTTGATTTACTGCAGGAGTTTCCCATCTTCTTGGTAATGCCCCTGACAACCCTTAATCAGGAGAATGTGCCTCCCTCTGGTTTTCCTCCTCACCAAGGCCCCGGCTCCCTCACCCCCACCCCACGGAAAGTCCCCGCTATTTCCTCTCCACCTCCACCCACTTCAAGGTGCTGCCCCACACCCTGCCCTGAGTACCAAGGTGGTTCTCAAGGCAGGGATGGGTGACGCCTGAGCTCTTCCTCCTGCCAGGTGGCCACTCACAGAACCCTTCCCCCAGGGCCCCTGCAGCCACAGCTGCTGGCATTTCCAAAGGAGCTGCTTCCAGTACTGCCGGGTCCTAAAACACCATGACATCCCCATTTGACAGCTGCAGACAGGAGCCACAGAGGAGAGGGCAGGCTCACAGCCCAGGTCCTGACCCCTGGGCCATGGCTGTCAGCCCCACTGCTACACCCTTTTGACAGAGGGGGAGACTGAGGCTCTGAGTGGCAAGTGGAGGGCGAAGTGGAACCATGGGAGGCCCGGTAGGACATGGCGTCACCTGATGGAGAGGGACCTGGAGGGGAAAATTGGCCTGGCCCAGGGACTGTAGCTCCTCTGTCCCCAGGCCTCAGGAATCAAGGCGGCATGGGGGAGGGTAGAAACAAAGGCCCCGGGGCATTCCCCGCTGTCGACACGGTTACCTGAGCATCTATTTCTGGCCTCCAAACCACCCCAGAACTATCTGGGGCAAAAGGAAGAAAAGAGACTAAACGACTTCCTCCGACCCCCTTTCTCCAACCTCAGCTAGACTCAGCATCTGACCCTGCGACTCCAGAACACCAGTTTCATTTCCCTTGGCCAATTTCCCAAAAGGAGGGGCGGGCGGGGCTCTGCCAGTTTAAGGGGAGAGAAAGGGCCACAGCAGAGACAGCGGAGGGCAGAGGAGAGGATCTCGCGGTCCTGCTGTCGCCAAGAGCTGGAGGTGGCCACACGGCCAGCCGTCGGGGCACAGAGAGAGAGGACCCACAGAAATCGGGACTGAGAAGCAGTCAGGCGGGGAGGTGAGGAAGAGGGAAAATAGGCCGCGCACGGCAGCTCACGCCTGGAATCCCAGGACTTTGGGAGGCCGAGGCGGGTGGATCACCTGAGGTCAGGAGTTTGAGACCAGCTTGGCCAATGTGGTGATTAGCCAGAGGTGGTTGTGGGTGCCTGTAACTCCAGCTACTTGGGAGGCTGAGGTGGGAGGATAGCTTGAATCCAGGAGGTGGAGGTTGCAGTGAGCCAAGATTGTACCACTGCACTACAGCCTGGGTGACAGAGCAAGACTGTTAAAAAAAAGAAAGAAAGAAAAGAAAAGAAAGAGAGAAAAGAAGGGACAGAGACAGGAGCCCGAGAGAACGGTGAGGAGGGAGGTGGGGACGGCCCAGGGGACGCTGAAGGAATGGGGTCTGGTGACACGAGTCCAGAGAGGAGGGCAGTGATGGGGGGAGGGCTGGGTGGAGCAGCTGGGCAGCCCGTGGGAGACAAAGGCGGGCTCCAGGGCACCGAGGCGGCGGTCACAGTGGCCCTCACTTCTCCTCCACCCCAGACGCCATCTCCCACCGACAGTCATGGCCCCGCTGGGTGAGTAAGCAGGGGAGGGGCTCTGGGACAAGCGAGCAGAACCCCTTTCCCCGCACCCACCGCGCATCCGCTGACCCTGTCCTCCCCTTCCCAGTCCTGCGCCTCCTCGTCCTCGTCCCCATCCTCCTCAGCCTGGCAGCCTCCCAGGACTGGAAGACCGAACACGGCCAGGACCCCTTCGAGAAATGCATGCGCGATCCTGACTACGAGCAGCTGCTCAAGGTGGTGACCCTGGGCCTCGATCGGACCCTCAAGCCCCAGAGGGTGATTGTGGTTGGCGCTGGCGTGGCTGGGCTGGTGGCTGCCAAGGTGCTCAGTGATGCCGGACACAAGGTGGGAAGTGCTGCTTGTAGTCTACCTGGAGTCCCTCCTGCTGTGGGCTGGGGTCCCTGGGCAGAGGGACCTGGCCCTGCTCCTGCTTGAGAGGGTGGGGTAGGGTGTGGGGGGAGGGGAGGGAGAGGCTACCTTTCCCCCTGGTCTAGGGGTGAGGCCCAAACCACTTACTGCCACGTGTCATCATTGAGAGGCCCTAGACTTTCCTATCCCACTTTCCTCATCCCAGAGGGAAGTCTCACAGAAAGCCCCTCTGTCCTGGGGTGGGGTGCCTGTCTGTGGAGCTGGAAACTTTACCAAGGGGATGTGTGCCCTGAGGTCTAACCACTGACCTACTCACTGAAATCCAAGAATGAGAACAGTCCAGCCCGGGGACTTCTACATATAGGGTTTATCTCCCAGCTCCCTGAGCTGGGAAGTCCCTCTGAAGTCTAGCTGGCGGCCTTCCTGCTGTACTCTGGAACTGCTCACTCAGTTCTGTTCTCCCGCCTCCCATACAGAAGGGGACCCTCACCTAGTCTAGGGTCTAGGTCTGTGCCACCGTGAGGATGGAAGAAGGCAGGACGCTGGCACGGGGCAGGGGAGCAGGGAAAGGTCATGGGTGGAACCGCAGGGCCCCCCTCACTGCATGGTTTCCCTCAGGTCACCATCCTAGAGGCAGATAACAGGATCGGGGGCCGAATCTTCACCTACCGGGACCGGAACACGGGCTGGATTGGGGAGCTGGGAGCCATGCGCATGCCCAGCTCCCACAGGTGACCTGGCAACCCACCCACACATGTGCCTCGAGTCAGCCAGCCCCCTAGCTCCACGCCCATGCCAGAGCAGGCCCGAACTCCAGCTCTGACTCCCAAACCCAAACCCAGCCTGCGACCCCATCCTTCACCTGATCCATGACAGTCCCACTTCAGCCCCAGCACCCGGCCTCTGGCAACACTCAGGCCACCTGGTCCCTAGCCTCAAGCTGAACCACAGCTACTCTCCCCTCCTGCCTCCCAAGTCCCTCTAGGAACCCGGCCACCCCTACCCGAGCCCGGCCCTCACTCACCAGCCCCCCAGCCAGCCCTGCCCGTCCCAAATGCCAGCTCCTCTGTGGTCCCCTGCAGCCCTGCAGCTCCACCACCCCCACATCCTCAGGCACTCCAGCCCCAGGCTCCTCCCCACCTCAAACCCCCATCCAACCCAAACTCTGTCCCCCTTCCCGATTCCCACTCCTAACCCAATCCTAATCCTGGTGCTGCCCTAAGCCTTCCAACCTTGTCCCCATTTCATTCCCATCCCCTGGCACTGATCACCCCAAATCTAGCCCCACCCCCAGCCTCTCGCTGGCCCCCAGCTATTCTCCCCTCCCACCTCCCAAGTCCCACTAGGGACCAGGCCACCCCCGCAGGAGCCCAGCCCTCACCCGCCCACTCCCTCGCTCAGGATCCTCCACAAGCTCTGCCAGGGCCTGGGGCTCAACCTCACCAAGTTCACCCAGTATGACGAGAACACGTGGACGGAGGTGCACGGGGTGAAGCTGCGCAACTACATGGTGGAGAAGCTGCCCGAGAAGCTGGGCTATGCCCTGCGGCCCCAGGAAAAGGGCCACTCGCCCGAAGACATCTACCAGATGGCTCTCAACCAGGTAGGCGCCCCGCACCTCCCCGCCCTGACTTCTGTGTCCTCCTCCCCAGCCAGCCCTGGCTGGCTCCCTGGGTCCTTGGGTTCCCTCCATGGGGTTGGGTGCCTGTTGATGGAGATGGAAATTCGACCAAGGGCATGTGTGCCATGAGGTCTAACCACTGACCTACCCACTGAAATTGGAGAATGAGAGTGGCCAGCTCCACGGGCTTCTACGCCTGTGGGTCATCTCCCAACTCCCTTTTTTTTTTTTTTCGAGACGGAGTTTCGCTCTTGTTACCCAGGCTGGAGTGCAATGGCGTGATCTCGGCTCACCGCAACCTCCGCCTCCTGGGTTCAGGCAATTCTCCTGCCTCAGCCTCCTGAGTAGCTGGGATTACAGGAACGCGCTACCATGCCCAGCTAATTTTTTTTTTGTATTTTTAGTAGAGACGGGGTTTCACCATGATGACCAGGACGGTCTCGATCTCTTGACCTCGTGATCCACCCGCCTCGGCCTCCCAAAATGCTAGGATTACAGGCTTGAGCCACCGCACCCGGCCTTTTTTTTTTTTTTTTTTTTTTTTTGAGATGGAGTATCACTCTGTCGCTCAGGCTAGAGTATAATGGCACCATCTCGGCTCACCGAAACCTCCACCTCCCGGGTTCAAGTGATTCTCCTGCCTCAGCTTCTCGAGTAGTTGGAATACAGGCATGCACCACCATACCTGGCTAATTTTGTATTTTTAGTAGAGACGGGGTTTCTCCATGTCGGTCAGGCTGGTCTTGAATTCCCGACCTCTGGTGATCCACCTCCCAAAGTGCTGGGATTACAGGCGGCAGCCACCGCGCCCGGCCCGGCTCCCTTCTTTAGCTTCCCCATAAGTACTGCTAATCCCAAAGCTGCATCGGCTTTTGGTCTCTTCCCCTTTCACCCACACACTGTCCTGGACAACCTCCTGGTCTCCAGCGTGGATCCAGAAACTGACATCTGCTCAATCTGTCTCCCAAGACCTTGGCCTGTGTCCCTCCCCCAGGCCCTCTAGCACCGCTGGGCTCAACACCTTCCCTAAACCAGTTCCTCCTCCCGTTACCCCCATCTCACGATGGCCCCACCATCCCGCAGTCACGGGCAGACCCCCAGGAGCCACCCTCCTCCCGACCTCCTCCTCGCCCACCTCCCCCACAGTCAGTGCCCATCCCTGCCCCGGGACTCTCATGCCCTGCTCCCCTCTGCCCACCCCAGCTCAGGCCTCCTCCTCTGCCCTGGGCCCTCCACCAGTCTCCCCTCCAGCTGCCCAGGCTCCATCTTCCCACACCCAGAGTGATACTGCTCACAGCCCCTGGTGGCTCCCCCTTGCCTCAGGGTCAGCTTTGAGCCCTGACTGGCCTTCCCTCCTGCACCCCTCCAGCCTCATGTTCTTTTCTCCTCTAAGGAACTTTTGTCCTCATGGTGGTCCCCATGCCCCCCGCTGTGTTCCTCACTCCCACTACACCTGTGCATCGCCCCCCACCCCGCCTGGAATGCCTGTCCCTTCCCCACACAGGGACTCCTGCTCCACCCTCAAGAACCAGCTCTAATGTCCCCTCCTCCAGGAAGCCTTCCCTAATACCTTATTTATTTATTTATTTATTTATTTAGAGACAGAGTCTCATTCTGTCACCAGGCACCAGGCTGGAGTGCAGCGGCACAATCTCGGCTCACTGCAACCTTCACCTCCCAGGTTCAAGCAATTCTCCTGCCTCAGCCTCCCGAGTAGCTGAGACTACAAGTGTGCGCCACCAAGCCCTGCTAATTTTTGTATTTTTAGTAGAGACGGACTTTCACCATGTTGGCCAGGCTAGTCTTGAATTCCTGACCTCAGGTGATCTGCCCGCCTCAGTCTCCCAAAGTACTGGGATTACAGGCGTGAGCCACCGTGCCCGGCCAACCATCCCTGATGCCTTTAGGGGAGAGCTGGCCACACCCAAGTGTGAGAACGCTTTACTTGTCCATCTCCCCTTCTGGACCAGGGTGGGGGCCATGTCCAGGTCATTTCTATGCCTTAACACTGACCGGTTTGGGAGCCTGGGAGATGCCAGATGCCTGAGTGAGCAAAGGGGCACCGCCTTCCCTCCGAGGTCCCTGGCCAGGAGGGGGAAGACAGGTGGACCAAGAAGAGGCCTGAGGCCGGGCGCGGTGGCTCAAGCTTGTAATCCCAGCACTTTGGGAGGCCGAGGCGGGTGGATCACGAGGTCAAGAGATCGAGACCATCCTGGTCAACATGGTGAAACCCCGTCTCTACTAAAAATACAAAAAAATTAGCTGGGCATGGTGGCACGTGCCTGTAATCCCAGCTACTCAGGAGGCTGAGGCAGGAGAATTGCCTGAGCCCAGGAGGCGGAGGTTGCGGTGAGCCGAGATCGCGCCATTGCACTCCAGCCTGGGTAACAAGAGCGAAACTCCGTCTCAAAAAAAAAAAAAAAAAAAAAAAAAAAAAAAAAAAAAAAAAAGAAGAGGCCTGAAATTAGGCAGGAGCAGCAAGGCTTCTGGGAGGGGCTGTGACTTGAACGAAGGGCTGAAGGACGGGCACACATGTGCCACGAAAAGACAGGAAGGGAACAATAGGTGCCAGACGTGCAGCGGGGAGAGCCCTGGTGGGGGTGGTCTCGGCACTGGATACTTCACAGAACCAGAGCTGCCATAAAAGACATTGACCGGACGGGCACAGAAGCTCACTCCTAAGTGAGCTCACTCCAAAGTGGTAATCCCAGCACTCTGGGAGACTGAAGCGGGCAGATCACGAGGTCAGGAGTTTGAGACCAGCCTGGCCAGCATGTTGAAACCTCGTCTCTACTAAAAATACAATTAGCCGGGCATGGTAGCCTTCGCTTGTAATCCCAGCTACTCCGGAGGTTGAGGTAGGAAAATTGCTTGAACCTGGAGGTGGAAGTTGCAGTGAGCTGAGATCGCGCCACTGCACTCCAGCCTGGGCAAAAAGAATGAGACTCCAACTCAAAAAATAAAAAACAAGGCCGGGCGCGGTGGCTCAAGCCTGTAATCCCAGCACTTTGGGAGGCCAAGGCAGGTGGATCATGAGGTCAGGAGATCGAGACCATCCTGGTCAACATGGTGAAACCCCGTCTCTACTAAAAATACAAAAAATAAGCTGGGCATGGTGGCGCGTGCCTGTAATCCCAGCTACTCAGGAGGCTGAGGCAGGAGAATTGCCTGAACCCAGGAGGCCGAGGTTACGGTGAGCCAAGATCGTGCCATTGCACTCCAGCCTGGGTAACAAGAGCGAAACTCCGTCTCAAAAAAAAAAAAAAAAAACTAAAAAATAAATTAATAAAAATAAAAAAACAAATTAAAAAGACATTGAGGCCCGGCGCGGTGGCTCAAGCCTGTAATCGCAGCACTTTGGGAGGCCGAGGCGGGTGGATCACGAGGTCAAGAGATCGAGACCATCCTGGTCAACATGGTGAAACCCCGTCTCTACTAAAAATACAAAAAAATTAGCTGGGCATGGTGGTGCGTGCCTGTAATCCCAGCTACTCAGGAGGCTGAGGCAGGAGAATTGCCTGAACCCAGGAGGCGGAGGTTGCGGTGAGCCGAGATTGCGCCATTGCACTCCAGCCTGGGTAACAAGAGTGAAACTCCGTCTCAAAAAAAAAAAAAAAAAAAAAAAAAAGACATTGAGGCCAGGCACGGTGGAACCTCAGCACTTTGGGAGGCCAAGGAGGGCAGATCACTTGAGGTCAGGAGTTTGAGACCAGCCTGGCCGGCATGGCATAACCCCATCTCTTCTAAAAACGAAAAATCACTCAGGTATGGTGGTGGCGCGCCTGTAATCCCAGATATTCGAGAGGCTGACGTAGGAGAATAGCTTGAACCTGGGCAGTGGGGGATGCAGTGAGCTGAGATGGTGCTGCTGCCCTCCAGCCTGGGCGACAGAGCAAGACTACCTCTCAAAAACAAACAAAGACACTGAGGGGCTGGCAGGGGCCTCGAACACCAGGCTGAGGGGTGAGAACTCTGTGGCTCTAGGCACTGGGGAGCCACAGGAAGGCTGTGGGCAGGGGACAAACTGGTAGGTGAACTTCTCAGCCGCCATGCCCTGTCAGCCCTGACCAGTAGCACAGGGGGCCAGCTTCAGCCTGTGGCCAGCAACCAGTAATCACTGTGCCCCGGGAGGACACAGCACGCCTGAGACCCTCTCCCAGCCTCCTCTCCAGCTGCCCACACCCCTGCCTCCATGGAGCTCACAGGCTGGCGCAGGAACAGGCAAAATAACACCCAACTGGGACAAGCTGTGACCAGCCGGGCAAACGCAGGGGTGGTAACGGTCTGGGAAGATGGGAGGAGTGGTGGCATCTGAGCTGCAGTGGAGCGCAAGGCAGAGGGCATGGCGCGGACAAAAGCCCAGAGGCTTGAGAGTGGTGAAGGGCTGGCCCGGGGCAGAACCACAAGGAGAAGCCAGGGGTGGGCTCCAGACCTCGCCTCAGCACCATGTCTGCCTCTCCCACAACAGGCCCTGAAAGACCTGAAGGCGCTGGGCTGCAGAAAGGCAATGAAGAAGTTTGAAAGGCACACGCTCTTGGTGAGTGGGGCCCTTGGTTCTGCGGAGACGCAAGGCAAAGAGAGTGACTGTGGGCCTTCCCCGGAGAGTCAGGAGGCAGGAACCCGGGACCCTAGTCCTGCCACTGAATTCCTGCCTGACCCGGGGGCTGGACACGCCCTCTCTCTGGACCTCAGTTTCCCCCATCTGTCACAGAGCGGGGACCGGATCTCTAGGGTCATGGAATCAGGAGGCCTGGCTGGGGAACGGTCCTCTTCGGGCGTGCCGCCCGCCTGGGCCCTGACCTCGGCCCGCGCCCACCCTGCAGGAATACCTCCTCGGGGAGGGGAACCTGAGCCGGCCGGCCGTGCAGCTGCTGGGAGACGTGATGTCCGAGGATGGCTTCTTCTATCTCAGCTTTGCCGAGGCCCTCCGGGCCCACAGCTGCCTCAGCGACAGGCTCCAGTGAGGGGCGGGGCCGGCGGGCGGGGAGGGGCGGGCGGGGACCAATCGGGGCAAGGAATCAGGGAGTGGGCGGAGTCTCGGGGCCTGGCGACGGAGCCGTTGTGAAGGGCGTGGCCTGATTGACAGGGGCGGGGTTAAGGGTTCCCAGATAAAGGGAACGGCCTGGGGAGGAGAAGTGGTGGGGTTCCAGGTCACACAATCCACTACTGGGGCCTCCGGGGTGTCAGGAACGGGCGGGATCCGGAGAGGTGGATGAGGTGGGAGCGGGTCGGTGCCCATAGGGGCCAGCAGCCGAAGTGGGTGGGGCCAGACGGAGGGGTGGGGCCGCAGAACCCGGGGTCACGCCCCTGCCCCGCCCGCAGGTACAGCCGCATCGTGGGTGGCTGGGACCTGCTGCCACGCGCGTTGCTGAGCTCACTGTTGGAGCCTGTGCTGTTGAACGCGCCCGTCGTGGCGATAACCCAGGGGCCGCATCATGTGCACGTGCAGATCAAGACCTTTCCCCGGGCGCGGAATCTGAAGGCGCTGAAGGCCGACGTGGTGCTGCTGACCGCGAGCGGGCCGGCGGTGCAGCGCATCAGCTTCTCGCCGCCGCTTCCCCGCCACGTGCAGGAGGCGCTGCGGGGACTGCACTACGTGCCGGCCACCAAGGTGTTCTTGAGCTTCCGCAGGCCCTTCTGGCGCGAGGAGGACATCGAGGGCGGCCACTCGAACACCGACCGCCCGTCGCGCATGATTTTCTACCCGCCGCCGCGCGAGGGCGCGCTGCTGCTGGCCTCGTACACGTGGTCGGACGCGGCCGCGGCGTTCGCCGGCCTGAGCCAGGAAGAGGCGCTGCGCGTGGCGCTGGACGACGTGGCGGCGCTGCACGGGCCGTTCGTGCGCCAGCTCTGGGACGGCACCGGCGTCGTCAAGCGCTGGGCCGAGGACCCGCACAGCCAGGGTGGCTTCGTGGTGCAGCCGCCGGCGCTCTGGCAAACCGAAAAGGATTACGGGCCGTACGACTGGTCTGTCCCTTACGGCCGCGTCTACTTCGCCGGCGAGCACACCGCCTACCCGCACGGCTGGGTGGAGACGGCGGTCAAGTCGGCGCTGCGAGCCGCCATCAAAATCAACAGCCGGGAGGAGCCTGCATTCGAGACGGCCAGCCCAGAGGGGCAGAGGCAGAGGCAGGGGTATGCGCATGGGGTGGCGGGCAGCCCCTCGTATGACCGGGCAGAGGAAGAGGGCAGCCACCCTCCAGTCCAAGGCCAGGTACCTCTCCAGCACACTACCTACCCGAGGACCTGGCATTAAAGTATTTTCGGAAAAAGCCGTGTGGTCCAGCCTCCCCCGTGGCTCAGTTCCTTCCCCAATTTGCCTGCATCGGAACCCCTAGCCCTGCAGTTAGCAGGCGCTACGCCTATCCTGGAGCCTTCCACAATCTGCCCCTCACTTCTTCCCGGACATTGGGGCTCCACAGGAGGGGGGACACGCAGAGGGAACAGGACGGACTCCCTGCACCACCGGGAAGTGGCAGTCATGGAGACCATCTCCAAGTGTCACGAAGCTGAAGCACAGATGGGCCCTAACGCTAGTAACAGCCCGGTTGACAGTGGCTGAACAGGTGACTTTTCTCATAAGCAGCAGCTGGAAGGGCAGACTCAGCGCACAGCTCTGCAGTCCCTTCCACCTTGGTTATGTCCGGGAAGTGTTCCCGCGCAGCTACCAGGTCGCAGCCACAGCCCTGAGCACCCCATCTTCACTCCACTCCTCCAAAACCCCCAGTCAGGCCGGGCGATGTAGCCCACGCTTGTAATCCCAGCACTTTGGGAGGTCGAGGCAGGCAAATCACCTGAGGTCAGGAGTTCGAGACCAGCCTGGTCAACATGACACCCCGCCTCTACCCAAAATACAAAAATCCGCCGGGTGTGGTGGCGCACACCTGTAGTCCCATCTACTTGGGAGGCTGAGACAGGAGAATTGCTTGAACCCGGGAGGCAGAGGCTGCAGTGACCCAAGATCTGCCACTGCACTCCAGCCTGGGTGACAAGAGCAGGACTCCATCTCATAAAACAAACAAATCAAATCAGGCAACTCAGGGAGCCCTGCCTCCACAAGCCCCAATCATTCACCCTAGACCCTGCTGAGCCACAATCCCCACCAAGGTCGGAGCCCACGTGGCAGCTTCCCCCAACTAACATGAAGCCAACTGCACAAGAGAAGTGTCAGTTTAATGAAGCCAGCTTATCAGGAGGGCGGCGGCGGCCGGGGGCGGAACGCACCCGCCCCCTCGCAGGTGTCCCTGGCCTCCTGCGCGGGCTAAAGTGCCTGTGCAGAGCGAGGCTGCCTGGCGGGGTTAGGAGTCGGCGCCGTCGTCCTCCTCCTCCGGCAGGATCTCCAGGCTGCTGTCGGGCTGCGGGGCTGTGTCCGCGGGGGGCGGCGGGGAGGGCACAGCCCGGGTGGGCGACAGCGGCAGGGGAGACACGGTGGGCGAGGGGCTGTGGGGCTCTGCGGGCTGCGCCAGCCCCAGGATCTCCTGCACGTTGTGGGGCAGCTCCTAGAGGCGCGGGGCGAGGGCGGCGAAAAGCAGAAGGTGACGGTGAGATAGGGGCGGGGTTCGGGAGGGGGCGCTGCGGGGCGGGCCGGCACTCACGGGGCAGGCGGTCAGCTGGCGGTGCAGGGCCTCGGCGCGCGTCAGCACGTCCTCCACGCTCAGCTTCATAGTCAGCTCGTTGATGTGCTGCGGGAGGGGGTGGGTCAGGCGCCAGCCAGCACTCAGCCACCTCCGCCCGAGCGCCCACTCTGTGCCTCGTGCTGGGGAACAATGAAGACACACCGGGCTGGCCCTCTGGGGGCTCGGAGGCGCGCTGGGGGCTGGGGGAGTCATGCTTCTTAGGCCTCCGGGAGCATTCGGAGCACGTACTGGGGGAAGGCAGGTCCCCACCCACCTGCCCTGTGAGGACCTTGCTGGGAGCAGGCAAGGGATGGGGCGAGAGAGAAACCCAGGCGGCCGCACCCCGGCGGCGCTCTCAGCTAACCAGGCTTTCAATAATCCCACACTGAGCACCTGCTCCCCGCGGGTACTGCGGCCCTGGACGCGCCCAGCTCCGGGTGGGCGGGGGGCGGAGGTAGGGGTGGAGGGAGCGGGGGCGGGAGGGAGCCGGCGCCTCACCTTCAGGATCTCATTGGAGCCGAAGCCGGACAGCATGAGGGTGTCCCGCTCCATGTCTAGGATGGCGCAGGCCACCAGCAGGTGCAGATTGGGGCCAGGGAGCCCTGTCCAGAGTACCTGGGGGTGCGGGACAGAGGGAGGGAGGGGTCATGGCCCAGCCTGGGCCTGAGGTCCCACCAGGGTCTGCCCCTCTCCGCCCAACCTCCCATCCTCTCCCATAGGTGGCAGAGCCCACCCCTTCAGGCCTCCCTCCCACAACTGGCTGGCCCACCTCCCACAGCCGAAGGACATCCAGGAAGGGAAATTCCCTCTTGAACCAGATGAGCAGCCACCGGAAGCAGAAGCAGAGAGAACCAGAGTCCTGGGAATCTGAGGAGGACAGGGAGCCCACTCAGCGCTGTCCAGCGCTGGGACTGAGAGTCTAAGAAGCCATCCTGGCTGGAGGACCCTCCCCAAGTCTAGGCAAGCGACTTATGCCAGGCTTGGGACCCTCGGAGGTAAGGCAGGAGCAGCTCTGAACCCGGACCTTGCCCTCCTTCATCCCACTTTCCAGAAGAAGTGTGTTATACTCCCTCATCTTCCACGGACATGGAAGGGAGGCAGGGTGCCCAGCACACCGGAGAAAACAGACCTCAGTGCCTGCTGCCAGTGAGAACTAAGACAGCTGGCGCTCCTAGATACAAATTTTTATTAGCAAGAATTTAAGCTGAGGGCTGGCTGGGGTGGCTCACGCCCGTAACCCCAGCACTTTGGGAGGCCAAGGTGGGTGGATCACCTAGGTCAGGAGTTCAAGATGGGCCTGGCCAACATGGTGTGAAACCCCATCTCTACTGAAAATACAAAAATTAGCCAGGCACGTGGCGCTTGCCTGTAATCCCAGCTACTTGGGAGGCTGAGGCAGGAGAATCGCTTGAACCTGGGAGGCAGAGGTTGCAGTGGGCCAAGATCAAACCATTGCACTCCAGCCTGGGTGACGGAGCGAGACTCCATCTCAAAAAAAAAAAAAAAAAACCCTGCAAAGGACCCGAAACTCCAGCAGGTGAAGTTAAATCAATTCTGCCACATCTTGCAGGTGGACAGAACACCAGGCAGTCAAGAAAAGTGATGTTTGAGAAGACTGAATAACACAGAGGTGGCCTCTCCTTGAGCTCCAGGGAGTGAGGCTCTTCATGACTTGTTATCATCACGATCTGCACTCAAAAAGAATAATGTTATCAACAGCAACTTGAACTTGCTTTTTTCTTTTTTTTTTTTTTTGAGACAGAGGCTCGCTCTGTTGCCCAGGCTGAAGTGCAGTGGTACTTCAGCTCAAGGGATTCTCCTGCCTCAGCCTCCTGAGTAGCTGGGACTACAGGCGTGCGCCAAGCCCAGCTAATTTTTGTATTTTTGGTAGAGATGGGGTTTCACACCACGTTGGCCAGGCTGCTCGCAAACTCCTGACTTCAGGTGTTCCTGATCCACCCACTGTGGCCTCCCAAAGTGCTGGATTACAGGTATGAGCTACCACACCTGGCCTCCCCCCACCCCTACTCTGTTTCCCAGGCTAGGGTGCAGTGGCGCAGTCTCTGCTGAATGCTAACCATCACCTCTGATTCTTGTGCCTCAGCCTCACCAGTAGCTGGGATTACTGACATGTGCCACCATAGCTGGCTAATTTTTTTGTATTTTTAGTAGAGACAGAGTTTTGCTATGTTGCCCAGGCTGGTCTGGAACTCCTGGTCGCAAGTGATCCGCCTGAATGGCCTCCCCGGGTGCTGGGATTACATTGTGCCCAGGCTAACTTTTAAATTTTTTTTTTTTTGTAGTTTCTCAGTTTTTTCTGTTCTCCCAATGTTGCCCAGGCTGGTCTCAAACTCCTTGGCCAAGTGATCCTCCCGCCTCAGTCTCCCAAAGCACTGGGATTACAAGTGTGAACCACCACACCCAGCCTTACTTTTTTTTTCTTCATCCGAATTTCTTGCTTTTTTTTTTTTTTTTTTTTTTTTTGAGACAGAGTTTTGCTCTTGTTACCCAGGCTGGAGTGCAATGGCTTGACCTTGGCTCACTGCAACCTCCTCCGCCTCCTGGGTTCAGGCAATTCTCCTGCCTCAGCCTCCCGAGTAGCTGGGATTACAGGCACGCGCCACCATGCCCAGCTAATGTTTTGTATTTTTAGTAGAGACGGGGTTTCACCATGTTGACCAGGATGGTCTCGATCTCTTGACCTTCTGATCTGCCCGCCTCGGCCTCCCAAAGTGCTGGGATTACAGGCTTGAGCCACCGCACCCGGCATTTCTTGCAGTTTTTACACTGACCAAGTAATGAAGAATGAAAATTATTTTTCCTTTTTTTTTTTTTTTTTTTTGAGACGGAGTTTCGCTCTTGTTACCCGGGCTGGAGTGCAATGGCGCAATCTCGGCTCACCGCAACCTCCGCCTCCTGGGTTCAGGCAATTCTCCTGCCTCAGCCTCCTGAGTTGCTGGGATTACAGGCATGTGCCACCATGCCCAGCTAATTTTTTTGTATCTTTAGTAGAGACGGGGTTTCACCATGTTGACCAGGATGGTCTCGATCTCTTGACCTCGTGATCCACCCGCCTCAGCCTCCCAAAGTGCTGGGATTACAGGCTTGAGCCACCGCGCCCGGCTTTTTTTCCTTTTTTTGAGACAGAGTTTTGCTCTGGCTGCCCAGGCTGGAGTGCAGTGGCACCATTTTGGCTCATAGCAACCTCTGCCTCCCAGGTTCAAGCGATTATCCCGCCTCAGCCTCCTAGACAGCTGGGAATCACAGGCATGCGCCACCACGCCCGGCCAATTTTCTAATTTTAGTAGAGACGGGGTTTCTCCATGTTGGTCAGGCTGGTCTTGAACTCCCGACCTCAGGTGATCTGCCTGCCTCGGCCTCCCAAAGTGCTGGGATTACAGGAGTCAGCCACCGTGCCCGGGTGAAGAATAAAAAACACTAAAGCCAGGATGCAGCCTTAGGGTCCAGAGAACCAGGTTCTGATTCCTGGTTCAAGGTGAGCCACAGTCAGGTGGAGGTAAGAAGTGGCAGGAACGTCCTTATTTCTGTAAAGTACCCAGCAGGTTAAGCCAAAGGTAAAGGCCAAACAGGATGGAGGTGAGCACGAGGGCGGGATGAGCCAGCGTGCCTGCGTGTCTGCATTTGGTGACGTTTTG